GGAACAGGGCCTCTGGTAAGCCGCCACTGCGCCCCCTGGACTACCCAGGTAGCGAGGGGACCTGAAACGCCCTGGGGCTCCAGAGGCCCCAGATTAGTGAAGTGAAGGTTTTTGCCATGCAAGCACCCCGAAATTCTTCACTTCACTAAACCGGACCCAGGACGAACTCGCTACGCTCCAGTCCCGCGGGAGATCCAAGACTCCCGCCGCCGCCCGGGGACGTTGCTGCATTGCGGTGCTCTGGTCACTGTTAATGGCTTCCGCGGGCTGCAGCGGCTCACTTCCATGACTACCCCGACTCACGAATCCAGTGGTTGGTCTGGCTCTATGGGTTGGTTTCGTTGTGTCGGTTGATTTTATGCTTGGTTGGCGGTCGGTGGATTTCGCGTTGTTCATTGGTGTCGTGAAGTGATTTGTCGTTTGGTTGGTCAGTGCCGTTTTGTTGATTCGTGCCGTTTTGTTGGTTGGTGTCGTTTCGTTGGTTGGTGTCGTTTTGTTGCTTGGTGTCGTTTTGTTGCTTGGTGTCCTTTTGTTGGCCGGTGTCGATTTGTTGGTTTGTTGGTTGGTGTCGGTTTGTTGGTTGGTGTCGTTTTGTTGCTTGGCGTCGTCCTGGCGGCGTGGCCGATAATCGGCGGCCTGCAATGGCGCCAGGATTTGTTTCGGGCCAGCCTTGATCGCCCTCATCATTCTCATATTCGTCAGCGTCAGCACTCGTCGCCCCCATCCGCGCACACATGCGGCCCTGGTACGGCTCTCACGCGGCCCTGCGAAGGCCTTCACTGTGCTCCCCAAAGCTTTCTGAGGGGCCCCCCAGAGGCCCCAAGAGGGCACTGGAAATTGTCGCTTCCAACTCCGCCAGGCGGAGGTCAACAAGGGTCTCACTGGTGCACTTCCAGGAATCGTCGTTCGATCCTCTTGGGGCCCTCCTGGGGCCTTCTGGAGCCGTCTTGGAAGCTCCGAGCGGCTCCATGAAGGCGCCGGGCGATATCGCTTCCAATTCCGCCAGGTGGAGTTAGACCAGGGGCTCACTGAGGCCCCTTTTTGCGCCCTCCTCTGCCTTTGAAAAAGCCCCGATGGGGTTCTTCAGTGCCGTCTTAGGGCCCCTAAGAGGCCTCCAGTAGGGTATTGAAGTTATCGCTTCCAACTCCGCCACGCGGAGTTGAACCCAGGGCGGCTCTCTATGGCCCTTTCGGGGCCTTCTTAGAGCTTTTCTGAGGCCCTAAGTGGGCCCTGGGAGGTGTCATTTTCACGGGCGTTGAAAGTGACACCGCGGAGGGCCCTCTTGGGCCCTTCTTGGGGCCTCTCTTGGGTCCCTCTGGGAGCCCTCTTGGTGCCGCCCTGGGGCCTTCTCGGGGCCTTCTTGGAGCCTTTCTGGTGCTCTTTAAGTGGGCCCTGGGAGGTGTCACTTTCACGGGCGCTGAAAGTGACGCATCGAAGGGCCCGCTTTCCCTCGTAGCGCTGCCCGTGGCCGGGGCATTGTGCAGCGCATCCCTCGTCGAACGTATTTTGTCGGATGCGTGGTCGAATTCCGCCAGTTCGGTCGAGATGGTGGTCAAGCGGTTCGGTTGCAATGTAGCCATGCGGATCTGAGCTTACTATTTCTTGCCATTTTGGCGGGGATCGCAGGAGCGTTGTGTTGTGACCAACTGTGCTCGATATATCCAGCGGCAGCATTTCATCCCAATAAATTATTTTGACAAAAAGTCAGCAGGGGCCAAATTGCTGATGTGAAGCAACATAGGTCTCGTACGATAGGGATTCTTACCACGTTCTGCCGCATTCCTGGGGCTCTTCGTCGGGGCTGCGCTGCTCAGCGGGGGAATGCGCCCCCGCGGGGCTGGGCTTTGGGCGTCAGGGGCCAGTCTTGCGAGCAGGCGGTTTTGCGGCAGGCGTTCGCGGCTGAGTCAGCCAAGGCCAACTATCGGGCCTCTGCGCGCACCCTGGTGGACTTCCAGAAGGCCTACGAGATGGCCCCCCACATTTGGCTTCTGCGAAGGGGCCGCGAGCTCCAGTTCACCCTTCGAAGGCCGGCCCCCCCCGCCATCGTGCACTCGGGGCCGAGGGCCTTGCAAGTGGGCGTCGTCCTCTCCCAGGGCCTGCTTCGCATTTCCCGGGGGGTCTTCGCGGGTTGCGCTTTCGCGCGACGCTCCTCCGGAGGCCCCCCTGCCCATATTGGGCGAGGTGCTGCGGGGGGCCGCGCCCGCCGCGTACATGGTGGTATGCGATTGCGCGCTGTCTAGCACAGGGCAAGATTACCGCGTGGCGCGCGTGCTGTCAAGAGGCGCGGTCGACCTACGCGCCCGACTGGAGCTCGAAGGGCTGAAGGTGTCCCGTAAGAAGTGCCAGCTTACGCCGCCTTCCATGCAAGTCTCCAAATGTCTGGCTGCCGGGTTGCGGGCGTGGAACTTCCGAGGGGCTGCTGGCGTTAAAAACCGCGGCGTGGGTTTTCCATTGGGCAGGCCTAATCGGGCCGCCCAGGCGCGTGAGCCGAGCTCAATCAAGCGCAGGGTCCGTCGGCTTCGCCTGCTCAGGTCCGCTCGCAAGGGCTCGAGCAGGGCATTCAGGTCTGGGCGGGGCCGCCGCTGCCTTTTGATGGGGCCAGGGCCACGGGGGTCTCCACCTGAGCCCTCGAGAGTTTCAGGGCCACCTCGGCCTCGGTTATGTTTGGCCCTGTTGCGGGGCGGCCCCGCGCGTTGCAGTTTGCCCTGTCGGCGGCCCCCACAAACGGATCCCGCCCACGCGGCCAACAAACTGCCGCTTCAGTTTTGGGGCCGCGCTGTTCTTGAGCAGTGATTTTCGCATGCATTCGCGGCTGGGGCCCTCGACGAGGTCTGTGAGACCCTCCCCGACGTCCCCATAGGACCTTGTTCGGCCGTCTTGGCCACGCTGTCTCGCCCACGCTAGGAGGCGGTCGGGTGGGGTCGGTGGGGGGTGGCGGGGGGGCGCGTGGATCGAGCTGCAGAATGTTTGACCTGGCGCGTTCGGCAAGCTTGTGGACCTGTTTGCACAGCCTGCGCTGGTGGAGGGGCTGGCTGATTCGACAGGGCTCGAATCGTTGCTGGGCCCTCCCATGCTCGAGCCTGTGAAACATGCCCAGGCCCAGCTGTTTCGAGGGGGCTTTGAAGAAGGGGCCGCCTTCCTCGCCTCGCATGTCGCAGGAAGGCTGTGGACGCATCATCTCCTGTTCCATTCACGCGCTGCTGACTCCGCGACCCGCGGGGTCTGTGGCCAGGAAGCGGGAGACACCCCGCACATGGTGTTTCGTTGTGATTTGCCCGAGAGTGTGCGCGACAGCCTCGGTCTTGACGCCGCTTCCCAGGCAGGGGCGGCGCGCGCCGAGGGCGATGATGTTATGTTCTGTTGCCTTGCCGATTCCAAGCTACGATTGCAACAGCTTCCCGATCAGTCTGGCCTTGTTGTTTCAGACGGGCCAATGGCGAGAGGCGTATGCGCTGGCACTGTGACTATTGACGGCAGCACCCTCGACCCCGATCTTCCGTTCTGCTCGAGAGGAGGTTGGGCGGAGGTCTCGGTCGATCAGCATGGCAACCCGCTTGCTTTGGACCTCCCCCCACGGCTGTGCAGGAAACGCCTTGCTGAGTTGTGGGCGTCTTTCCAGTGACTGTCTTTTGCGGCCGTGCCCGTCGCTGTCGTCGCCGACTGCCGTGCGATAGTCGACGGGGTGGCTGCGGGAAGGGCTCGATGCGTGCGCCCGAACCGTCTCTATTCCGAAGTGTGGGATCGGGTTTGGTTAATTGAAAGACCTGGGGGCCGACCAGGTTTCGGTTCGCTGGGTTCAGTCTCGCAGAAGCTGGCCCGACGCCCAGAAACGCGGCGTGCCCTGGCTTCAGTTTCGCGGCAACGTGCTGGCGGACGAGTTCGCTGAGAAAGAGGCCAGGGCTCATTTCAGGGACGAAGACTGGGCCCACAAACGCTCTCTGGCCTGGTGGGCTAGCCGTCACGCGGCATACTATAAAATCGGTTCTTGCACCATCTGGCGCTCGCGGATTTTCCTGATGTTGTCCGTCCGAACGTGCCGAGGGTCCATTTTGATTTGCTTGACTTGGTCTCTGACCCTCGGGGCCATCAGGTGAAACTTGTCCGTGGGCGTTCGGGGTGCGTCTCCTGCGGTCGATCGGGGACGCATCGCTGCAAGGTTGTCTCTCGGCCTTGCCCTGGTGTTCCTGATATGTTGTCTCGTGCTCACCCGTCCCATCGCTTCTGGTGGGCTGCTGGACCCGCCGAAAAGGACTTGTCTGATGCTCGCGCTGTGGGGTGCATGGCGCCCAGCAGGTACTCAAGATCGGCAGGCCCTGTGTCCCTCCCACGGACTGGGGCCGCCGCTCGCTGAAGGCACCTCGTGAGGGCAAGGACCCTTCCTCGGGATCCCTCCTCCCTCGCCCCTTTTCCTGTCATCCCTCCGCGGGAGCCTCGTGAGTTGGGTTGGGTGGAAGACCTCCGTCCGGTCGCTTCCGAGATTGAGGATCCCGATGTTTCCTACCGTGCGCAAGGGGTGGTCGCCCCTGCTGCGCCCGTTCGTTTTCGCGGGCCTGTCCCGCCTGAGGCGGGCAGGACTGCCGCGGAACCCAGCGCGGTGGCGAAAATGGCGGTAGTGACACACCCGCCGCTGGCTCCACTCGTGGCTGACCTCGTGGGACTCGTTGCTGGGGCGGTTCCCTCGGGGGCCGCCTCCAAAGGAAGGGAAAGGGAAAGAGGAGGGAGGAGGAAAAGGAGGAAAAGGAGGAAAGAAGGGAAAAGGAGGAAAAGGAGGAGGAGGAAGAGGAGGAGGAGGAGGAGGAGGAGGAGGAGGAGGGAGGAGGAGGAGGAGGAGGGAGGAGGAGGAGGAGGAGGAGGAGGAGGAGGAGGAACAAGGGGCACGAGAAGGAGGGGCACGAGGAGGAGGAGGAGGACGAGGACGAGGACGAGGACGAGGAGGAGGAGGAGGAGGAGGAGGAGGGGGAGGCCCTAGCTTGCGTGGAGCCCCGTCTGCGGGGGGCCAGCGGATCTGGGACTTCCCCCAAGCCGGCGGTTCCCAGCCGTCCACCCGGCCTCCTGACGGCCAGTTCGACATCAGCTCGGCTCCAGGCGCCCTGCGGTCAGGGGCAGCGATCGGGGGGATAGGCATAGGGGGCACGCATCGACCCCCAATCGCCCATTGATCGCCGAAGCGGGCCCGATAGCCCCAACCTGTCCAGGAAGGTGCGGATTCGCGTTCGGAGGCCTATCGCCGATCTATCGGCGATGTATCCCCGATAGATCGGCGATGTATCGGATGCATCCCCCATATGCCAGTCCTTCCCTTTCATTGTCCCTCATGCGGGCTGAGCCCTCCTGGCCTTCCTGGACCTTCCCTGGTCCTCGGACCTTCCTGCCCTCCCTCCATCTCGCTCTCCTCCGCGCCCCACCATCGCTTCCCTGCAGTAGGCGCTCGGCCACAAGAAACTTTCCACAAGAAACCCAACCCTGAGACCCGAATTTTGGTGTGGGAACGTCACGCACTCCATCGCAAAGCCATCGACACCCAGGAAACCCAGGGCACCCTGGAGGCAAGCAGGGTGTTCTTTGGCATGTATTCCCGTTGTGCCTCCTTTCTCCCCTCACCCTTCCCCGCCCTTTTCTCCCACCGCGTTTGCGCGGTGTCAGCGTTGAACCGAGGATTGTTGTGGCGGCCAACCGTGTTGCCAGAGTGTCCCGCTGCAGGGTTCGTTCGGCCGTTCGCGCCAGGGAGCCCAGCTCCGCAAATGAAAGTGCTTGCGCGCGCAAACACCGACAATTGTGTCGGTCCCCAGCGGAGCCTGCTCCCCCCATACCGTGTGGTCCCCTCCGCAGTTGTGTTCCACAATTGCTGCTGTCCACTCTCACTCTCTCTCTCTCTCTCCCTCGAGGACGTCCTCCGAGAGAGAGCCGCCCGCCCCTCCTCCGCGTATTGCTGCTGCTCTCGCACGGGAGTTGCGCGTCGGTGTCTCTCCAGGCTGTGATTCGGTCCGAGCGCGGTCGGTCATTCCGTAGACGTGCTAACGGTGTGTTAGCTAACGGCGAAGTAGGAGATCCATTCGTAGGAAGGCGTGGTTCGTGGCTGAACCAATTGTAGGAACGCGTGGCCCTTGTTTTCTTACAACTCGCTGTGTTGTTATCGTTAGACACATTTGCATTTTTGACATGTAGGAAGCGGCGTGTCGTGATGTTTCTATATTTTGTTTTGCGTGAGCTCGGTGTCACAACAACCAGATTCCCAACCGCACCGTTGCCCAAGCACGCCGTCAGCGCGGCCCTGGCAATTCCTGACTAGCAGTTCCGCTTCTAGGGGAACGAGCAATTGCATTAACACAACAATTCCGAGGTCCGCCCGAGGGGTTCGGGGTTGTTCGAATCATGATCGGGAGGACGTCCAGGAACGGGTGGAAGTGTATCCGCCAGGCAGGGCGGCGAGGAAGCATGCCTGTGCGCCTCTGGTGGCAGTCTCGTCGTGGTCATCCTGGCGGTGTTATCGTAGTGGTCGCCGCTTCGTCAGAGTGAGGGGGCCGAACGGTCAGTCACCGTCTCTGGGTGCGTGGCTGAAGTGGGATTTCGCGGTGCGGAGTCGTGTTGTTGTTGTTGTTGTTGATGTTGGTGTTGTTGTTGTTGTTGTGGTTTTGGTTTTGGTTGTGGTTGTGGTTGTGGTTGTGGTTGTTGTGGTTGTGGTTGTGGTTGTGGTTGTGGTTGTGGTTGTGGTTGTTGTTGGTGTTGTTGGTGTTGTTGGTGTTGTTGGTTGTTGTTTCGTGTTTGTTGATTGTTGTTCGTTGTTGTTTGTTGTCGTCGTCCCACGCGCAACCCGCCCCGCGACCCACCCGCGACTCACCCCACGACCCACCCCACGACCCACCCGCGACCCACCCGCGACCCATTCCGCGACCCACCCCGCGGCTCACCCCGCCATCCACCCGCGACCCACCCGTGACCCACCCGCGACTCACCCCGCGACCCACCCCGCGACCCCACCCGCGACCCACCCGCGACCCACCCACCCCGCGACCCTCCCGCGGCCCACCCGCGACCCACCCGCACCCACCCGCGACCCACCCGCGACACACCCACCCCGCGACCCACCCCGCGACCCACCCCGCGACCCACCCGCGACCCACCCCGCGACCCACCCGCGACCCACCCGCGACCCACCCGCGACCCACCCCGCGACCCACCCGCGACCCACCTTCGACCCAAACCACGTTCAAGGTACAAACCACCATTTTCGGCGCCTGCGGCGGGCTTTTTTTGCATTCCTTCCAGCCGGAGAGCCCGCGACCCACCCCGCGACCAACTCGCGACCCAAACCACGTTCAGGGTACAAACCACATTTTTCGGCGCCTGCGGCGGGCATCTTTTTCATTCGTTTCAGGTGGAGAGCCCGCGGCCCACCCGCGACCACGTTCAGGGTACAAACCAAATTTGTCGGCGCCTGCGGCGGGCATCTTTTGCATTCGTTCCTGGTGGAGAACCCGCGGCCCACCCGCGACCCAAACCACGTTCAGTGTACAAACCATTTGTTTCGGCGCCTGCGGCGGGCTGCTTTTGCATTCCTTCCAGGTGGAGGTGGAGAGCCCGCGACCCACCCGCGACCCAAACCACGTTCACTGAACAAACCAATGCCGCACAAGCGCGGCGGCGGATTTTTGCATGCCGTCTGAGCCCGCAACGACCTCTTCAAGCCCCGCGCATCCACACCAGCCCGTCCAGCAACTTTGCCCTGGCGAGTTGCCTTGATCAGAGAAGACGGGGATCATAAAGTGGAAAAAAGGATTGCGTTGCCGTTATCTTGGGAAAGGAGGGGGAGGCAGGAGGAGTAAACAGGGGACGAGGAGGACGCGGAAGAAGAGAGGATGTAAGGAGAATGTGGAGAAAGATGAGGTGGAGGAGCAGGAGGACGAGGAGGGGGAGGAGAGGGAGGAGGGGGAGGAGGAAGAGGGGGAGGAGGGGGAGGAGGGGGAGGAGGATGATGATGGACGACAATGGGAGGACGATGATGCAGGCCGATGAGGGGGAGGACGACAGTGGGAGGACGATGATGGAAGGACGAGGGGGGGAGAGGGAGGACGAGGAAGAAGACGAGGAGGAGGAGAAACGGAGGGTCTACATATTCTCACAAACGTAGAAACTGCATTCGACGCCATGGCACACGGCTCACTGGCAGACGGCATGTTGCGGAGAGGTCTTCATGCCGGGAGCGGCCCCCACGACTCTGCCCTGCTAGTATGCCTCAGCCTTGCGCGTGCGCTTGCGCTGTGCGGAGCAAGAGGATGGCTCCAGATGCCTCCGCGCACTCGGCCCCAGGGGGGACCGAGCCGGAGTCTCAGGCCTCAAGCGGGGGGAGCAGGTAAGACGGGCATGCGACTGGACTGTGGCCCAGCCCAGCGGCTCTTTTCCTCCCCCCCGAGTTGGGTCACCCTGTTTGATTCCTTCCTTGGGCGCGCTTACTGAACGGCTTCGCTCGTCGGGGTGCTTCTTATCGGCGTGAGTTGTCTGCCCTCTAGGGGGCGAAGAACGGTACAACATGCATTTTTCCGTCGTCGGGGACGCCTGCCCCCCGGGGCGGTTGCAAAGGTTGTACCCCTACGGTGCTTCGAAGGGGTATTTTCATTTTCCAGTCAGTCAGTCAGTCGGTACGCCCTGATCCCAGCGACGGCGCGTGGGCAAGCAAGATTGTATAAAGTCTTGCGTGCGATACCCAGGGAAAATGAAGCGACCTGCACAACACACACTCCAATGGAGGCAAATTGCAGCAAAGCGCATACATAAGCCCAGGAGGAGGAGGAGCGGGAAGAAGCAAACAACTCTGCGCCGACGCTCCAAACGAGGCCGCTTACAACCGAGTGCGGTTGTTCATCAAATATTGTTGCGATCGAGATGGCAACAAACTATGAATCGTCAAATCGAAGCGGCGTTTTTTTCTGTGATGCTATTAGACACAGCACATGCCTGCTTCAATATGTATACCCAACAATTTGGAATGACCCCCCAGATTGGTGCAAAGAACCTTGTACGCGACTTCCATTGTGCGTTGATGGGTTGTGCGATGCATCTTCCAGACTGGGGCCGTTCCGAGTCAAGTCGCGCATTGTCAATTATGATGTTGAAGTACCGTTGAGTGTTCCATTGATCTCTCGTAGCACAACTTTTCTTGCGATAACGACTCCATCTTTCAAAGTGAGTAAAAAATCGAGCCAATTTCGCCCAGATGACTTCAACGTTCAACGCGTCGCGTGCAACAGCAATACGTTGGTCAGCACACTCATAGTTAGCCAAGTTGTGTTTACGATTGATTCGCTCTCCCATTGATCGCCACGCTGCGAGAAACTGAACACACCACCTTGCCCCGCTTTGTTCCGCATTGCCTTCAACCATGCTTTCCAAGCAAGTGGGGTTATCATGCTGTGTGGTTTGGTAAACTTCTTCCTTACTGTGGCATTATTTCAAACATTTTTTGACTGATTGTCGGACGCCAGCGGCTCTGCCGTTCAACCATATTCGCGCTCAACCGGGGGCATTACTTAATCATATGTTCTGCCCGTTGTGTGTTTCTCCACCGACGCAGCCACGTTGCAGAGCTTGTCGAACGAGAAACCCTGCGCTCACTCAAGAATCTGATCTGCTGCTGCGTCCAATGTTAGAACATCAACCAACACATAAATGCACTCGAGCCTTGTCAACCTGTCAGTGACATGGTTTCCCGTGCCCTTCCAATGCTGAGTGACAACAGTATTATTCGGAGGTGGACAGAACCCCCAACAGCGACACGTCGATTAGTGAATTGTCCGCTTTCGGTTCTCGAGACGATGCCGTGGCCGTTATTTTTCAGGCCTGCGCCCACCAGGTTTGGGCCTCAGGTCGTTTTCACTAAACCACGTTTTACTAAAAGGGGGTCTGTCCATCCCCGAATGATATGTATGTCCCATGTGAATTTTCAACTCAAGCCGAGTCCATTGCCGTGATGTTCTCCATCTGGTGTGTGAGATGTCGAATCGCCTCTTGCCATTCTGCTCGGTCCACTTTGGGACCATGATTGTGCGGCATGCGAGAAGATCTCGCGACGAACAAAAACACTTTTACCCAAAAATAGAATCCACCTCCACGTCACTACGACCGGAGGCGTTCACACCGCGAGCTCACAAGGAAGGTGTGTAAGATTGGCAAGAGGCGTTCCACTTAAGAAGGCGAGACACACGAATGCAAACAGCGACAACAATGATGTGGAGCGTAACTGCAGGCGAGCTTTCCAAACACCAGCACCAAAACCAACATCACCGAAACCAGTCCCCTAAATATTATCCCTGGTCGGATACAGGCCTATTCTGGCCCAATCTCGTTTAAATTGGCTCCTTCCCGCTCGATCCCGCTCAAGCCGGCTCAATCCAAAGCTTGATCTGGCTTGATTCAGTTCAGTGGCCCCCTCACCTGGCTTACCAATCTCGATCATGGACCCTGTGTTAGCCGCAACTATCCAACTTTCGCGCCGAAAGATGCAGGACACCGCAGGAAGACCGACGAAGACCGCCGAAGTCTGTCAGGCATCCGCTGAAGACCGCAAGAAGAGCGCCCAAGACCGCCCGGGAGCGATGGGCATCAAGGAGTCGATGGTTAAACACGTACAGTGCCGTTTTAAATACATGCTCCGCGTGCGGATCATGGATTCAAAATGCAGGGATTCAGTATCAAAAACAACGTTGAGTTCATGCATCAATTCATTCATAAAGTCAGCATGTATTAAACATCCAATGCTTTTAAACATCCCATGTATTAAAAATTGCCCTGCAAGATCGGCTTTTTTGGGGAAGACCTCCCAGGAGTTGCCTTGCCGTCTGCTTGCCGGAAGGGCTGGGTCGCCCCCCCCCCCCCTGCGGTCCACCCACACCGCACGGAGGGGCGAGCTTTCCAAGGGTCACCCCTTTTGCAGCCCTGCCCAAAAGTGGGCCCAGCCTTGGCAGCGCTCTCGTTGGGCAGCCCCACTCGAAGAACGTCACCGTGGCTTTCCAGGGCCCTTTGCATCCTTGCCCAAAAGTGGGCCCATCCTTGGCAACGCCCTCGCTGGGCAGCCCCACTCGAAGAACGTCGCCGTGGCTTTCCGGGGCCCCTCGCATCCTCATCGCGCCTCCTCGTGATGCCTCCGCCGCCTCGGCCCGCCGCCCGCTGCGAGCTCCCAGGGCTCGGCCCGCGCGCGGGCGCCCTGAAGCCTTGGCGCGGCTGGCTTGAGTCAGCACCGCTGGGGAGGAGGAGGAGGAGGAGGAGGAGGAGGAGGAGGAGGAGGAGGAGGAGGAGCAGGAGGAGGAGCAGGAGGGAGGCGAGATACACGAATGCAAACAGCGACAACAATGATGTGGAACGTAACTGCAGGCGAGCTTGCCGCTGGGAAGGAGGAGGAGGAGGAGAATGAGGAGGAGGAGAAGCAGGAGGAGGAGGAGCAGGAGGGGCAGGAGGTAGGAGGAGGAGGAGCAGGAGGGAGGAGGGATGGAGGAGGAGGCAGAGGAGGAGGCATGGAGGAGGAGCAGAGATCCCTGGCAGCGCCCCGGCCGCCCGCGCAGGCGCTGCCGGCGGCGGCCCGAGGGCGCAGCAGGGCGGCGCGTCGTTCAGCGCCAGCTCCCTGTTCGGGAACCCTCGGTCAGGCGAAGCCGCGGTCGGGGGGTCACGGAGCGCAGGTGGCCTGAAGGGAGAGGAGTACCCTTTTGGACGAGGATCAATGGAGAGGAAGCGTGTTGCCAAATGTTCTCCAGATGCCTAATACCTACGTCAAGCATGTCTTAAGCATGCATGTGCCCACATTTGTATGACCATTTCTCAAACATTTTAAACACATTTGAGTTCAATGATAGGATTGGTAGGGTGTCCATTGTAATGGCATCCACAAACAGATCGGAGGTTCGAAGAGGGGGCGGGCCCTCAGATCTTGGCGTTGCCATTTCTTGCAGAGCGGGCGTGTTCGCCCAGGGGGTCGGGTCCCGGGGCCCTCACAGATAGGGTCTATACGTCTCTGGGCGTCATGCTGTACGATGTTCCATGTTTTCGCGACGTCAGAGCTCAGGGGCGGTCCCGAGATGGGGTGAGGACAGGGACCCAGCTGGATGCTCACTAGTTCTGATTCCAGGGGCCGTCTGGAGAGATGCCCATCCAGCCCCACGTCTGCCCCGACCCCACCTGTACCCCCCCCCGAACAAGATTCAAGACGCTGCGTGTTCACCGCCCGCCCACTCCAGTTCTCGCCAGGCGAGGCGAAGACGGCTCCACTACGGCACGAACATATGCAGAACATACGAGAACCCCCGCATCTGTGTTTTTTGTTTTTGCCTGCGCTCCATAGTTGTTCCTTCCCCGTAGCCTATTCGGCTCAGGCGTGCCGCGTGGCTGGCTGATCGTCGATTTGCCGCTTGGTCGGCGTCCCGTCATCAGTACCGACGGATCAGTGATATGGACGTTGGCTCTCTGGGCCCTTGTTCACTATCCACACCACGAGGCCAGAAATAACCCGAACACTGCCCAAGGTCAACCCAAAACGGCCCGAACCCTGCCTAAAAGGAGCCAAGCAGGGACCCATGCGGCTCAGGCGGGCGTTGATCGGCCGAGGCGACAGTACGTCCGTGTTGGGCCGTAACCCCGTCGAAATGCCGTTGGGAATCGGGCTGGTCTGGGGCCAGTTTGGGTTTCGTTTGGGGGCCCACGTGAAGCCCAGGAGCGTCCAACATTGATCCTGGATCGAGTCCCAACAGCGACGTCGATGTCGACGTGCCGACAAATTCGAGCCCGACCAATATACAAGAGGCGTCTGGGCGACCTCTGGCGAAGCGATAGCCTTCAACATCCAAAGGTCTCGTGCAGTTTTGACGCGTCAAATTTGTAGGCGAAATGGGGCCTAAGAGGCACTCCGGGTCCCTGGCAGCGCATTTGGGAGGTGAAGAAGGGTGCCCGAGAGGGGCTACATGGAAGCGAAAGTGTGTCGGAAGCGGTGTGGCATTCGAGATTGTCTTGGACGCCGTTTGGAAACCGTCTTGGAGCGCGAGCAGGGGCGTTGCCGCTACCGGTCGGCAGAATGGGGAGGCCCCTAGCGGAAAGGAAATGGGGGGCTGAAAGCCATGTATGGAGCTCTCACAGTGCAGTCCCATACGCCCCTCAGTTTGATGGGCGGGTGGATTCAAGAGATCGAGGCGTTCCGGCATCCGTATCCCAGAGATTCGAGGGTAGCAGGGACCTTGCCAGGGCCCGCCTGGGATTTGGGGGGACTCTTCTGGGCCTGTCGAGGGCGTCTTCGGTTGTTTTATGGGCCGCCTGCGGTTTCTTAGGGCTCTTGGGGCCTCCCGTGGGGCCTCTTGGGACGGAGGGCTCGAACAGTTTGTTCGGGCTCCTCCTGCTGGGCCCCTCTTGGGCCGTCCTGAGGGCCTCTTGGGCCGCCCTGGGGCCCTCTTGGGCAATTGTGGGGCCTTTTCGGCGTCCTCTTGGGCCGTCTTGGGGCGATCTTGGAGCCCTCCCGGGCCGTCTGGGAGCCCTCTTGGGCCGTGTTCGGGTCAACTTGGGTCGTCTTGGGGCCCTCTTGGCGGCCTCGTGGGCCGCCCCGTCCGTCTTGCAGTAAAAACCGTGCCGGTTCTAGGCCGTTTTGGGTCCGTCGGGTCTTGGAATTGGGGCCCCGAATATTCCAAAATGGACTCCGTAGCGCACCCGAAGCAGCGTCCAAGTTTGAAAGACGAAACATACAGCAAAAACAAAACCAATCGAGCCCGAAAGGTAGTTGTAAGAAGCGTCTGGGTCACCCCTGGGGAAGCGACAATCGTGAACAAAAACAATAGTATTTGTTGTATTGTTTGACATACCAGCCTTTCGCCACAAAGGCGCTCTCGAGGGCCCCTGGAGCGGATGTTTGGAGGCCAAGGCTAGCCCAGACGGGGCCGAAATGGAGCCAAAATGCGCCCCAGAGGCGTCCCCAGAACGATCTGAAAGTCGAGCTCGTCTTGGAAGCCGTCTTGGGGGCATCTTGTCTGAGGGGGGAATTCATACATGACCACCGCCTGGAGGATCAATTTTCGCGGACCTCGCAGGCGGTGGATATGGATATATTCGGGCCTTCAGGGGCCAAAATATGTTCGGGCCCCCAGGGGCCAAAATATATCCATATCCACCGCCCGCTGTCTGAGGCACCAGGACGTCGTTTCTCAGGCGGTGGATATGGATCAATTCCCGCCTCGCATCTTGGGGACCGAAAGCGGCCTTGGGCGCAGCCGGGCTGCGGACTGGTGGAGGCCTCCGGGGGGGAATTAATGGGGGTGTACTAAAGCATTGTAAGGAGCTCTCATAATTGAGTCCCACACGCCCTTCAGCCCGGTGGGCGGGCGGATTCAAGTGGCTTGCGCCATTCCGCCGACCCCCACATGGAGTGAGTTTTTGAGACGGTCGTGGAAGTTATTTCTTGGGTCAGGAACCTCTTGGATGAATGTGATGGTCTCTTGGGATGCGTCTCTGCGGCCTCTTGGAGAACTTTTGGGTGCATGTGGAAGGATGTTTGGGGCCTCGTGGGGGCCTCTGGGGCGCTTCTTGGGGGCTTCTTGGAGGCCGGCCTCTGGGGGGCTCGAGGGGCCATCCTGGTGGGAAAGGCCCGAAATGCTAGTTTGTATTCCCCCTCTTGGGCTTTACCTATCCGCCCCCCGAGGTCCGCGCGCGGATTTCCTGGGTCGGCGCGGGAGGCCCCCCCGGCGGCGTCTCTGGCGCCGCGCCCGGTGCGCTGCGCGCACTGGGGGCAGGGGACCCGTGGCCGACCCAGCATATCCGACCAAGGATCTTTGCACGGACCTTTGGCAGTTTATGTCTGTTCGATTCGGTATCCTGCAGAGGCGGCTTCCTCCTCCGCCTCCTCCTCCTCCTTCTCCTCCTCCTGCTTCTCTCCTCCTCCTACTCCTCCTCCTCCTCCTCCTCCTCCTCCTCCTCCTCCCCACCCTCTCTTTTTCCTCCTCCGCCTCCTCCTCCTCCTCCCCACCCTCTCTTTTTCCTCCTCCGCCTCCGCCTCCGCCTCCTCCTCCTCCTCCTCCTCCTCCTCCTCCTCCTCCTCCTCCTCCTCCCCCTCCTCCTTCCTCCCCCAGAGTCCTTGCCGGGCTGGCGCCTGGCACGGCCGCGGCGTGCGCGGCCGCACGGGGTCCTTGGAGAGGGCGAGCCATTCCTCGGAGAGCGAACGACGGCATAACATTTAAATCGGGCACGTCCCTGTACAGGAGGAATATTCAAAAATAGTCCAGAAGTAGTGTGGGGACAATTTTTTGACTATTTGTGAATCTGTGTTGCCATTATTTTTTTGTTCGCCCCAAATCCCCCTGTAAGAGGACATGCCCGACCTAAGCATAACAGGATTTCTCGGAGGTCCGCGCGGATGTCCTGGACCGGCCCTGGGCCCCCTCGGCAGCGCTTCCGGGGCCGTTCCCGGCGCGCTCGACGTTCCGCGCGCGCCGTCCCGCGCGCTTCTGTTTGTGCCGTTCTTTGTTTTGTTTCTCTACTTACGGCAGGGCGCCCTGGAACCCAGCGGTTCGGGGCAGGCTCACCATTCATTTTGCCCATTCGGCTCGCAAAGGCGCTGGAAGAAGTACCATGTTGTGTTCAGGGGGGGAGCGGGATCCCGCAAAGGGGTGTGTGTACCCCGGTGTGTGTGTGTGTGTGTGTGTGTGTGTGTCTGTGTGTGTGTGTGCGTGTGCGTGTGCGTGTGCGTGTGTGTGTGTGCGTGTGTGCGTGTGTGTGTGTGTGTGTGTGTGTGTGTGTGTGTGTGTGTGTGTGATTCTGTGTGTATGTGTGTGTATGTGTGTGTGTGTGTGTGTCTGTGTGTGTGTGTGAGTTCGATCGGCTTTTGCACCGAGTCGCCCAAAACAGATGCCCCCGCCCCGCAGGCAGCTCCCGAGATTTGCGGACAGGTGGGGCACGCGGGGGGCAGTTCGGTGCACCAGCAGATCGAACTCCTGCCTCCCTTCCAGGGGCGCCCCCCGTTATTCCCAGACATCTGGCTGGTCTGGCTGCTTCAATTTTTTCGATGCGTGGGCCCCAGAGGTCCAAACCACTTGCCTGGGGCCGCCGCCTTCTCGTCCTGAGCCGTTTTTTTGCGAGGGCCTTGCGACGGCCCCCAGAGATCGAGCATTGCCAACATCCCGCCGCTCTATTTTTTTGGGGGGGGGCGTCAGATCTCTGGGCTCCAGTGGGTCCCGAAGGGGGCTCGTGGTTCTCGGGCCCGATTCCCCAGGTCTGCGCTGGGGGGGGCCCGATCGTTGCCGAAGCGCGGCGTGGCCCGAGGAGCCCCTTTAGGCTCGTCGTTCGGCGCTCCTCGCGGCAGCACGACGGTCACCGCCCTCAAATCAGCCTTAAGTCGGTCGTGTCCCTCTACATGAGGGCAATTCAAAAATAGCCCCAAAATCGTATGGGGACGATTTGTCGGATATTTCTGTTTTTTCTGTTATGCGCAGGTGTTTCACTATTTTTTTCGTTTCTTCCAGATCAGCCTTTAGGGAGACATGCCCGACCCAAAACCAGCCCAACCCAACCCGAAGGCCCCGATTCGCCCTCCGTTTACAGGGGGGAGGGGGGCGTCGGAGAACATTGACAACAAAACCACATCTGAAGCCCGCCCCCCCCCCAACCCGAAATGCGGGTCTTCGGGCTGGGTTAGGGTGGTCGGGCAGGTCGTCAGCTGGCTGCCAGAGAATTCGAGTTCAGGGAACGTGGACGACCACCTCACCGACCTGTGCGCCGATCCCGGGCCCAGGATGGGCTCTGCCAGGGTCGGTGAGGTGGTCGGCTGACGTCGCCCGAGAGATACAGCACGATGCCTGCAGGAGACCGCCCAGTGATGGCGGCCGACGTAGCCCGAGTGATAGCCCGTCGCCCGGGTGGCCGCCGCCCGCCCCCTCTGGAGTCGGACGAAGAAGGGGATAGGAACGTTCACGGTGAGGGGGGGTAGGAAACCCGCCGCTGTATGCCGCTGGTTTTGGTCCCGATACGCCAAGCGCCCTTCCTCGATGCGCTAGCGCCTCCCACTGCGCCGGGGGGCGCCAGGAAAGCCAGCCACATGAGTTGATGCGTTGCCCCACCCTTTACAGTGGGGGCCCATGCCAAGAAACACCCTGCTTGCCTCCAGGGTGCCCTGGAATTCTTGGGTTTCGATGGTTTTGCGATGGGAAGCGTGACGCTCCCACACCAACAATCAACGGACGTCCTGGGGTCTTTCTTGTGGAATGTTTCTTGTGAATTGGCCCCCACTGTACGTCGGTAGCAGTTCATGGGAGGTTTATTAACTTTTGTGTCCTCGGAAGTCCGTCTCTAGAGTGGATCAGCGTGCACTCAGCGTCTGGCAGTCGATGGAGAAGCGACGATCTAGAGTCGATTAGCGCGTCGATAAGTGTCGGTCAGCGTCGGTTTGAGGGAGCCAGCAAGATGAGATGGGAGGCTCCCGTGAGTTGCCAGTGGTGTCGACCCATTCCCCGGAATTAAATCGGGCTTGTCCCTCTTAAGGAGGAATAACCAAGAATAGTTAAACATTGTTTCAAACATCGGGGACGGCATGGTTACTATTTGTGGGCTGTTCTGGAGCATTTTTAGATTTTTTATCTGTCATCCAAAATCCGCCTGTAGGAGGACACGCCCGACCCATTCCCTGGGACCGACTTTCTGTCCCGAGCCGTTGTTGACGGTCCTGGGACCTCTGCGAGGGCGCTCAGAGGCCGAGGTGCGATCGACACGTGTGCGGAGCGATTGGGCACGAAGGCCGACAGTAGTTCATGCCAATTCCGAACATCTCCGCCCACCAAACCACCCCAACCCAACGGCCTCAATTTGCCTTCGGTTTCCAATTTTTTTAAGGGCGGGTCGGGGAACATGGAGCAAACACATGGAACCTGTGCCCCCCCCCCCCCCCAACCCGAAGTTCGGGTCTTCAGGTTGATTTGGGGTGGTCTGGCAGGTAGTCAGAACAGGAATCGTTGTCGGCGTGGACACGGGCGTTTTCCATTGGAGATTGGAGACAGAAAACCTCCTGCCCGACAGCGGCCGCTGTCGGTTTTGGATAGTATTTGCTGTTGGCTATCGTACCATGTTTATCCTATGTGTCCATGTCGGGCGTACCGTATTCCCCCTGATCATGATGGTGATGATGATGTTGAGGATGGGATGATGCCGATTATGGTGTTGATGATGATGATACTGATGATGATGATGATGATGCTGATGCTGATGCTGATGCTGATGGTGATGCTGATGCTGATGGGGATGCTGATGATGATGATGATGATGATTATGATGATGATGCTGATTATGATGATGATGATGATGATGATGATGATGATGGTGATGCTGATGATGATGATGATGATGATCATGATCATGATGATGATGACGATGACGACGACTGCTGCTGCAGCTGATGCTGCTGATGATGATGATGCTGATGATGGTGCTGATGCTGACGATGCTGATGCTGATGATGGTGATGATGTTGATGACGCTGGTGGTAGTATGGTTGTGGTGCTGATGAGGATGATGATGCTGCTGATGATACTGCTGGTGTTGATGAGGAGGCCGATGATGATGCTGCTGATGATGATGGTTATGATGCTGATGCTGATGATGCTGCTGCTGATGATGATGCTGATGATGATGATGATGATGATGATGATGATGCTGATGCTGATGCTGATGCTGATGATGATGATGATGATGATGATGATGATGATGATGATGATGATGATGATGATGATGATGATGATGATGATAATGATGATGAGGATGAGGATGAGGATGAGGATGATGATGACGAGGAGGATGAGGAGGAGGAGGAGGAGGAGGAGGAGGATGAGGATCATCCGATGCGATCCGCAGGCTCGGGCGACCCTCTCGGCGCGAGCGGCGACGTGCGCGCCGCGCAGGGCCGCCACCTCAGGGCGCCCAGAGAGCCCAGCCGCGCTCGCCGCCCCACGCGGTGCGGGGCGGCAGGCCCTCGGTGCGCGCCCGGGGGCGTCCAGTCGGCGCTCAGAAAGGGTGCGGTTACGCCGGGGTGTGGTTCGCGATCGGGCGGTTACGCCAGGGTGTGGTCTGCGATCGGCACGACGCTGTCCTCGTCGGGCCGCCTTGGGGCGCGGGAGAGTCGCGTAAGACCCGTGTCTGATCGTCGCTCAGTTGGCGTCCGTCCCCCCGACACATTTCGGGAGGTCCGCGCGGGCATCTTGGGTCGATACTCCGCCCCCCTGGCTGTGCCTCCTGCGCCTCCGCGCGCCACGGGAGGGGGTGTCCATTGCCGACCCAAACCTCGGTCGGCGATCAACGACTGACGGTTGACGACTTTTCGTCGCTTGACGAAACGACGATTGGCGGCGATTCAGGATCGACGATCGATTACTGACAACATGTCGTCATTGACGACCCCGACGATTGACGACCGACGATCGACCCCGACGGCGGCCGGCTCCGAGGCTCGGTGGCGGGCAGAGCGCCGCCGGCCCCGCTGGGGGGCTACCCGGCCCCCGCGGCGGGCGCGGGCGCGGCGGCCAAGGCCGGCGGCGGCGGCGGCGAGCGCGGCAGTGCCAGATCATCGAGCAGAGAAGAACCCCAGCCTTCAACCTTAATAACGCAGCGAAGACGTGTCCTCATTGAGGTCCCCTTCTTCGCATGAGGGATATCAATTCTGGGCGGTTTGGTTCGATACCTCCGCAGACAAGAGCCCCTATCCCCAGTGCTCTTGGCCCTCCTAACTTGGGTCCCCTCCCAAGGGGTTCGGGGCCATTATCGTGGCAATCATCGGAGACCAACAGTCGGCGGCCGGCCCGGCTGGGTGGGGAAGTCCGAGGTTTCCGGGCGTTTGCGTTCCAGCTTGGGAGGCCTTCCAGCTTCAGGCTTTAGGACAAGTCTCGGGGGTCCCGAGGCCTTCCGAGCCTTCTGAGAAGGCCCGCCCCGCCGGGGGACCAGAATGAGGGGCTCAATGTTTCGAAGGTCGAGGTTTCGAGTTTTCGAGGTTTCCTGGCGCTATCGTGGATATCATGGCGTGGGCCATGATATTTCCTCAGATTTCATGGTGTGCCTTCTTATTTCGTTACGTCCCTGCCCCCCCCACTGGGCCGCGCATATGCCGCAGGTCGTGATTTGCGCCCCCCCCCCCTCTTGGACGCCCCCCTCTTGGTCGCCCCCGATAGAAGTTCTCTGAGCCTTCCCCGAAGGAACAGAGAAAACTTCTCAAAAGGCCGGAGGGCTTCTGAGAAGCCCCGCCGCCTTCTGAGAGGGCCTTCTCCTTCTCACTTCCCCCCCTTGCTCACCGCCGATATAGAGGTTCTGTGGTTGGAAACTTGTGGATAGCGTGTCGCTCCTCTGGTTCTGGCCCACCACGCTTTGGCCCGACATGCTATCCACTTCCCAGTCCCCAGGCTTCAACGTCCCACAGGGCGTAGCGTGACAGTGACGCCGGGGCGACACGCTATGCAACAGCATCTCACCGTAGATAGTAAGTCCCTGAGATCCTGGCGTCTCAATTCTTTCGAGCCAGGCGTTTCCGCCTGGTTTCGGGCCCCAGGGCCCTCACATATCGATCGGGCTCGAAAATTGACGCAGGAAGATGAGGTCCAGGGCTCTGGTCGTGTTTTTGTTTTTTCTCACGATATTTCAATGTTTCGCGCCGGCGGATCTGAGGGCATATATCGGCACGAACGGAATGGGTACGGAAAGAATGGGTACGATGCCCAACAGCAGTTCCTGTTCATTTTGAACAGGACTCGCTGTCCGCGCCGCCGCGGCCTGTGTTCATTTGAGACAGAAGGCCGCTTGCCCAACAGCGGCCGCTGTTGGTTTGGGACAACATTTGCTGTTGGGCATTGTACCCATTCTTTCCGTACCCATTTCGGGCTTCCACAATATAGGTTTCAGATCGTAAGTCACGGAAAATTCTGCTCATCCTAGATTTAAATGTCAATTTGCGAGTAGCACCCAGTAGCGCTCATTAGCGCCAAGTACCGCCCAATAGCGCCCAGTAGCGCCGAAGAGCGCTCAGATATTCTATAGCGTCCAATAACTCTCTATGGCGCCATGCGGGGAATGCATTCTCTCCGCTTTGCACGCGATTGGACGCCATGGTGACGACCAAAGCTTCCGTGAGTGGCCTTCCGGGTGTCGGCGGTTGCCTCCACCAGGGGAAGTTGGTGACGGTGGTTGGATTTGTGTTTCCTGGGTTGCCGAGAGAGAGAGAGAGAGAGAGAGAGAGAGAGTGCGTGCCACTGGCATCAAAATTCAGGATCAGCTTCCCCCGGTGGAGGCACCCCCTTGTGCTGGTGTTGGTGAACATGTCCAGGCTTCCAACATTGCAGGGGAAGGTCACAGAGGGCCTCTCGCCCCCACTTCGCCGAGCCCCCCCCCGGTTGAAAACCAGGCCGCCGTGCAAGGAGAGGGGACTCGGGATTGCACCGTCAGCAGGGCTGTTGGGACGATTTCGTATAGAGGATTGGCGCCCCCACATCGTATATCTCCAAGCTGAGCCAAAAATTTTGCGGCCTATCAGAAGTCCTACAAGTCAGGGATTGGGGTCATCATACCTCCCGTCGCAAGGGGAACCGTGAAATAGGGAGGTCGCAATGTCTGGCCTTGGGGCCCCGCATATCGGTCTGGCTTGGATCATGCAAGAGAAGGTTGGGGATTAGTTCTGCTTGAGAGGTTTCACGATGTAGCAGTTTTTTGGAGCAGTCGAAGCGGCCGTTCCCTTTATGTTGTTTTGCTTGTTATGCGGTCTGGTTTCGGGCCCCAGGACCGCACAACACATATCCAGGGTGAAACGTCTGTCCCATGAAAGGGGTCCAGACCTCTGGGGAGTCCACGCATAGAACGCCCGATGTGCTGGGGTCTGGGGTGGAGGGACAATGCACGACTAGGACGAAGCTCCGCAAATTGTTCAAAAGCGTTTCAGAGCGGTCTCAGGATGTTCTGGAACGTTCTGGAACGACTATGCCGCTCGACACATTCCGCAAGTCCGCCCTTTCCCAGAGAACGAGAGGTATCCGAATTATCTCGGTTCAATGTTCTCTTCCTCCTCGCCTCGTCTTAGAGGATCGTCGTTACGATAGAAGTCCCAGACCCCCAGCGGCTTGACTTCGGTCATCCCTGCGTCTTTTCTCTCTCGGTTCCAGTCTCCCGGACCTCCTCCCCCTCCTCCTCTTGCTCCTCCTCCTCCTCCTCCTCCTCCTCCTCCTCCTCGTCCTCCGTCATTCGTCCTCCTCCTCCTCCTCGTCCTCCGTCATTCGTCCTCCGTCTCCTCCTCCTCCTCCTCCTCCTCCTCCTCCTCCTCCCGCCCTCCTCCTCCTCCTCCTCCTCTTCGTCCTCCTCCTCCTCCTCCTCCTCCTCCTCCTCCTCCTCCTCCTCCTCCTCCCCCTCCCAGTCCCAGGGGAGGCCGACATGCCGGGGGCTGCTAAAGGTTCCCTGGGCCAGAGGTGCCCCCAGCTTTTCGCTTCATTTGGAGCCCCTGGGGCCACCTGTCATGCCGCCAACATCGCAGAGCGAATTTCGTTCGGAAAACGATAGGATGGGCCTGGAATGTCCCGGAGAATTTCGTTCTGGATTTCGAGGTGAATTTAGTGCGGATTTTTTTGGGCCAGGAGTGAAGACCAACAAAAAGAATCCACGCGACAGTCACTTCGTGTTTCGCGCCATTTCGGGCAAAAATCCACGCGGAAATCCATGCAGAAATCCGCTGCAGCACGTCTGCAAGGCCGGTGCAATGACATCCGGGGCCTCGTGACGGGTGCTCTGGAGGCGGTGAGGGGCCTCCATGGAAATCCCGGGGGCACCTTCAGAGCTCATTTCGATTCCTCGGGTTCGAGTCGGTTCGGTTTCGGTGGCTTCCGATTCCGATTCCGATTCAATTCGATTCCGGACTCCGATTTGGGATCAGATTTCTCAATGTAGGCCTGCTGCTAGCCTGCCGATTTCCGTCGATTCGATTTTTCCCGACTTGGCTGCCGATTTTCGCCGATCCGACTCATTTCGATCGTCGTTCGCCGATCCGAATTTGTCGATTCGATTCTGGGCTCTCCTGCACCTTGGCCCAGAGGCACTTCTAGCAACACCCGAACATGGGGTCTGGGACGAAGCAGCTTCCCCCAGGGAGTTCGTCGAGGCGACCTCCTGGGGCCAGTGGCCTGAAGCAATCCATGCGCCATCTGTTGGGATCGTCTTTGCAGCCCGTTTGCTCGACAGACTTGCGAGGACGGACCCAGGGGGGGGCCAAGGCGGCGGCCCTGAGGAGTGCATAGTGCGGATCTCCACTGCCCGACCTCGAGCGAGCGATGCGGGGTCGGTGGCACCGACATTGTCGCGTAAGCTGCCCGTGCCCGGGCGCGCGCAAGCGCCCACCACTCTTCCAGTGTGTCGTGCCGCATTGGCGGCCCGCGCAAGCCGCGCGCAGGGTCACGATGCCATCGTGCGTCTTGGCACCGCTCGGACGTGTGCACTGTACTGTTTCTCGGTCAACCTCGCCTTGTCGCCGCGCCGCGACGGGGTCGGAGCGCCTTCGGCGCGCGGTAGCCGCCCGTGACGGAGGTCGATGTGGGGTTGTCGGCGGGGGTGACGCCCCCCCGACGCTTCTTACGTAACTCGGCGTGCCCGCGCGAGGCCGACCAACGCACCGGGAATGGACGTCCGAGCGATGGCGAGGACAGTGGGGGCCCATGCCAAGAACTACTCTGCTTGCCTCCAAGGTGCCCTGGGTTTCTTGGGTTTCGATGGTTTTGCCGTGAAAAGCGCGACACTCTCACACCAAAATCAATAGACGCCCTGGGGTCCCAGGGTTTGGTTTCTTGTAATAGGCCCCTTGTGGACTGGACCCCACTGTACCCGCACGAGGCCGACAAAGGCACGGGGCATGGCGACGCCCGAGCGATGGCGAGGCGCAGGACCTGTTCCATCTCTTCGCTCCCGCGCGGGGCGGCGGCGGAAGCGTCGTCCACGGAGGCCCACCTCGGGGCCCGGCCGGCCCGCACGCGTCCCGCGCGGCCCGAAGAGCCAGAGGTGGAATGCTCGGGGGCGGCCAAGAGGGGGTGATGACCAGGGGGACGGGTGAACATCACGGCGTGGGCCATGATATCTCTCCCCAGATTTGCTGGCGCCTCGTCGTATTTCAGGACGTCCCTGGCCCCCCTCTTGGGCCGCGCACGTGCCGCCGGCCATGACTTGCGCCCCCCCTCCTCTTGGGCAGCAGAAGGGGCAGCGAGCGCGGGCCTGGGAGTCGGGTGACAGGAAGGCCCCCTCAGTCCAGGCTGGAGCGGTGGGCCTCCTTGGGACGATGGCGGCAGGGGCCTGGTGATCTCAGGAGCAAGTCACCGGTGCTCTGCCGCTCGCCTGCTCCCCCCGGGGTCAATCGGCCGCCCTGGCACTGACTCATTCACTAGGAACTGCCCCGGGAGCCCCTCCGTCAGGCAATGCGGAGGGGCCCAGGGAGACCAAGCGTGGTGATCCTCGATGCTTGTAGCTCCGGAACTCGAGGAGGCGGAGGACAGGGATCGAGGCTGCGTCTTGACGACCCGCGTGCCCGCAGCCTTGAGGCCCGGAGGGGGGGGAGGGGGAAAGATGCAAGGATCTTCGAGGCTTGATGTCGGGGTAACGTAGGAAAAGAGGACAAGGAGGAGGAAGAGGACGACGAGGAGGTGGAGGAGGAGGAGCCTAGCCTTACTTCCAAGGAGAAGAAGAAGAGGAATACCCTGACCTCCGACGTCCTCTTCTCCGCAACGGAGACACCCAGAGGTCCCCCCGACCCCCTCGGGCCGAATTTCATCCCGGCTTGTTGTTGGATAACCGCCGCGCCCGGCAATGGCCCACAAGAGGTCGATGTTTGCACAAACCGTCAGTCTTATTTGTTTTGACGTCGCGATTGGGGAGAGGAGGAGGAGGAGGAGGAGGTGGCGGAGGAGGATGGAAAAGGACTCGCGACATGGCGGGGTGCGCTTCTGGCAGCCTTCTCAAGATGATGTGTCATGATGACGGCGACGACGACGCCGTGGCCGACATCGACGTTCACGCCGATTATCACTGTGATGGCGATGATGATGCTGATACTGACGATGATGATGATGCTGCTGGTGATGATGCTGCTGATGCTGACGATGATGATAACCATGAGGATGATGTTGATGATGATGATGCTGCTGATGATGATGCTGATGGTGATGATGATTGTTATTGTCATTAATATGATCATGATGCTGACGATGATGGTGCTGATGATGATGAGGATGCTGATGATGCTGATGATAATGATGGTGCTGCTGATGATTATGCTGTTTTTGATGATGGTGCAGATGGCGATGATGCTGCTGGTTACGATGACGGCGATGATGAGGATGCTGATGCTGATGATGCTGATGATGATGATGATGAGGAGGACGATGGTGACGATGCTGCTGATGATCCTGATGATGACGACGACGATGAGGATGACGACGAGGATAATGGTGCTGATCATGATGACGATGGTGACGCGAATGATGATGCTGCTAATGATGACGATTATGATGATAATGCTGATGATGCTGGTAGTTATGCTAGTGATGATCGTGATGATGATGATGATTCTGACGATGATGATGATGGTTGTAGTGGCGAATATGATGATATTGCTTAGGCGGTTGCTGATGATGATGCTCATGATGATTCGGATAACCGACGCTATCTGGGTGACCCCGTGGGCTTGAGTGGCGAGGTGATGATGCTGATGGTGATCGTCATGGTGATGCTTACGATGATGCTGAAGAGTATGAGGACGATGACGATTATGATGATGATTGGTGGTGATGATGTTGATGCTGATGGTGATCATGGTATGATATGATGAGACATGATGATGCTGATGCTCATGCTGCTGCTGATGACGATGTCGGTGGTGGTGGTGATGATGCTGATGGTGGTGATAATGATGCATTTGCTGATGCAGATGATGAGCACGACTGGTACCAGCACCAATACGCCCAGCACGTCGGCGAGCGGTACGCCCGAGAGCAACGCCACGAGGGGGACGAGCACGACCGAGACCAGCAGCACCACTACGCCCAGCACGTCGGCGAGCAGCACAACCGAAAGCAGCACCACGAGGGTGACGAGCACGACCGATACCAGCAGCGCCACTACGTCCAGCGGGTCGGTCAGCAGTACGACCGAGAGCAGCACCACGAGGGTGACGAGCACGACCGAGACCAGCAGCACCACTACGCCCAGCACGTCGGCGAGCAGTACGACCGAGAGCAGCACCACGAGGGTAACGAGCACGACCGAGACCACCAGCACCAGTACGCCCAGCGCGTCGGCGAGCAGTACGACCGAGAGCAGCACCACGAAGGTGACGAGCGCGACCGATACCAGCAGCACCACCACGCCCAGCACGTCGGCGAGCAGTGCGACCGGGAGCAGCACCACGAGGGTGACGAGCACGACCGAGACCAGCAGCACCACCACGCCCAGCACGCCGGCGAGCAATACGGCCGGGAGCAGCACCACGAGGGTGGCGACCACGACCGAGACCAGCAGCACCACTACGCTCAGCGCGTCGGCGAGCAGTACGACCGAGAGCAGCACCATGACTGTGACGAGCACGACCGGTACCAGCAGCACCACTACGCCCAGCACGTCGGCGAGCAGTACGACCGAGAGCAGCACCACGAGGATGGCGAGCACGACCGAGACCAGCAGCACCACTATGCCCATCACAGCGGCGAACAGTACGACCGGGAGCAACACCACGAGGGTGACGAGCACGATCGAGACCAGCAGCACCACTACGCCGAGCACGTCGGCGAGCAGTACGACCGAGAGCAACACCGCGAGGGCGACGAGCACGACCCAGAGCAGTACACATGACAGCAACAGCTCTACGCGGACACCCGCGAGGGGGACCAGGCACTCAGTAGGCAGCACCACGACCGGCACCAGGGGCAGCATTACAGAGAGCAGCATTCCTGCGTGGACAGCCGCGAGTGGGCCCAGCAGCACCACAGAGGGCACCACGCCTGACAGCGGCCGCTCTACGCTGACATCGGCCGGTCGGGCAGGTCAGAGCGGCACCACGGGCGCTACCAGCCGGACGGCGACCAGCAGCACAGAGTGGAACAGCAGCTCCAGCGATACCAGCACCGTCGGCACGTTCTGGACCAGCAGCGCCAGCCGGAGCAGAAGCATCAGCGTCACCAACACGACAGCCCCACCCGCCCCAGCAGCCGCAGCAGTCACCAGGGCGCCCGAGGAGGAGGAGGATGGCCAGCAACTACGACGAGTACCACCAGCACGCGGCGATCCTGAAGAGCGACGGGTTTGTGCAGACGGTGCGATGCAATGTTCAGGTTTGCTTTGATTGCTCCTCCCTTCCTTCCTTCTCCGCCTCTCCGTGTAATTTTGTGCATGGGCAGCGTGTGCGGGCTTAGCTCACGGCCGCGTTTGGCCGACCCCACGGGCCGTTTCGCGTCGCCCTCGGCTCGTCTTCTCGTCGCCGGATGTCGGCCCTCCGATGCTGCGGGGCACGGCTGCGCCTCTTCACCGTAGTTATTTCATTTACAAACTTTGGCGAGTGCTTGCACCCATACCTGCATCTCCCGCTTTTGCGGCTTGCCTGTCTTGCCCTTTTCCTCCTCCGTCCTCCTCCCTCTTCTTGGTGTCTTCTCGCCCCCTTCTTTTCTGCCCGGTTTCACCAGATGAGGCGGTTCCTATCGAGACGCTTCTTTTTTATCTTGAGCTGGGTTTCGAACAGAGCTTGAAGCTGTCCGGGCGACAACATTGGATCTTTTCAAGCGTACGACTTTTCCGACCGGCGTAGATGCTGTAGGGTAATCCATAGCAGCCGCCGCGGTGTGGCGTTGAGTGTTGATTCCATTTGTGCTGTCTTCCCCTTCCTCCCTTCTCCGCTGCGTTCCCCGCGTGCACTTTGCTCCGAGTTCCTCTTACCTGCGAGCGGTGCTGACGTAGCGCAGGCGTTCCGAGGCAGCGATTTTCCCCGCGCGCTGGAAGCATCTGATCCAGGTGCTCGCTCCGTGATCCGAAGGCTGCGGAAGGTCATGTAGAGCAGACGCGGGCGGAAAAAAATGTTGATGCTGATGATAATGCTCACGATGAGTATGATAAGGAGGAGGAGGAGAATGTTGATGACGATGACGACGATGATGATGGTGATGATTATGTTGCCGATGATGGTGCCGATGATGGCGGTGGTGGCGTTGGTGGTGATTGGTGACGAAGGCGAAGAGCGCGCTGGCGGTGCGCTTCTTCCCTGCGCCCCCCCCCCCCCCACGCCCCAGCGCGCGGCCGCCCCCCGCGAGAGGCCGCTGCCCCGCCGGCGCCGCCCGGCCACGACTCGGACGACGACCTCGCCGGGTGGCAGCCGCCCAGGGCAAGGGACGACGACGACGACGACCACGGCGACGCTGCATCGACGACGACGACGGCGACGCTGTACGACGACGACGACGACGACGACGACGACGACGACCACGACGACGACGACGGCGACGGTGACGACGACGACGACGACGACGACGACGGCGGCGACGACGACGACGACGACGACGACGTCGGCGGCAACGACGACGACGGCGACGACGACGACGACGACGACGCTGTACCGACGACGACGAGGACACTGATCCTGGCGTAGGTCCGGCGATGATCCGACTCAACATGGGCCCAGAGTTGCTGCGCAGGGTTTCTTGTCAGGAAGGGAAAACAACGGAAAGCACAGAGACAATGGATCGTCGACTCCCAGTGAAGTATGGGAAACAATGAGAAGTGAGGGGGAAGACGAAAACCCGGAAGGCATCAGAAAATGTGGGGGGCCTGGGATGTGTGTTTATTTGTCCGGACAGACAGACAAACAAAGGCCATATCAATCCACCATTGTTGGCCCGTAAAAGGGCGAGGCTACAGCACAGTCACCCGAGCGCATACGTGCGCCACGCAGAGCAGACGCTGCTCCTCCGAGGGGGAGGGGAGAGGAGGTGAGGAGAGCGGGGGTGGTCCTCATGCGTGAAGACAGTCCTCGACCGATGCGCCTTCGTCACGTTCTTGTACACTGTGATGCCAGGTTTTTGTCCAACGATCGACCCGATCCGATATCGATTTCGAACGGCTGGATCCGACCCGATTCCGGTGTCTCGACAATCTGGAGCGTCCCGATACTTGCTTCCCGTTGTTGTCGGGGGTGGGCAGAAGCCCCACCCTGACATGTCGATTAGTGAATTATACGTTTTCGGTTCTCGAGAGGGCGCCGCGGCCGTCATTTCCCAGGCTTGCGCCCGCCAGGTTTGGGCCCGAGGTCGTTTTCACTAAATCACGTTCTACCCAAAGGGGTTCTGTCCATCCCCGATGTTGTGCATCCTGCCGATTCCGACTCAGCGCCGATGCAGGCCGATCGGGCGCCCAGTTCGATTCTCGATCCACTCTCCCCGACTCGATGTGCGGATCGATCCTGCCACCACACGGGTGCCGCCCCCAGCGAGGAGTTCCGCGCTGCCTCCCCGAGCTGGGAACGGGGGATGCTTCGAGCGGGGGGCGCCTCGATTCGATCCGATTTCCCGCCTCGAGGCGGATCGATCCTGCCGCCACACGGGTGCCGCCTCCGGCGAAGGCGTCCGCACTGCCTCCCAAGGGGCTGGGGACGGGGGATGCTTCGCGCGATCCCAAGGGGCTGGGGACGGGGGATGCGAGCGAGCGGGGTCGCCCTCGATGCGATGCACTCTCCCCGACTCGATGTGTTGATCGATCCTGCCGCCACAGGGGTGCCTCCTCCAGCGAAGAGGTTCGCACTGCCTCCCAATGGGCCGGGGACGGGGGACGCTCCGAGCGAGCCGGGGGCGTCTTCGAGCGAGAGGGGGGGGGGAGCCAGCCGAGGCAGCGGCGGCCGCCCCCCGGCGCTCGGGTCCTTGCTGCGCCACGGCTGCATCGGGCAGGTGGTGGTAGTGGGAGGCATCCCCAGATTCCCGAACTCAGACGATCGCAAACATGGATCGAGGGGGCATGGATTAGCGACGGGTCCCGTTTCCAGGGGGAAGCTCGGAGTTCCGCCGCCGAGCGAGGCGGCACCGGCTGCGTTTTGGGGAGGGCACCTCGCCCGATCCATGGATTTGGCGACCGCGCGCCAAATCCACGGATCGTTGATCCGTGTTTGCTCGCCCCCGAATGTGGGGCCAGCCGAGCCCGCGGCGGCCGCCTCGGGCGCTCTGGTCCTTGTGGCGTATGCCCGAGGCTCCTTGTCGCCACGGCTGGATCCGGCTCGGAGGACGGGTCGCACAGTTCGATTCGATCCTGCCACCACAGGGGTGCCGCCTCCAGCGAAGAGGGCAGCACTGCCTCCCAAGGGGCTGGGGACGGGGGGATGCTGCGAGCGAGCGGGGGCGTCCTCGAGCGAGAAGGTAGAGGGCAACAATTAGTGGACACTCCCCCGCTGCCCCAAACTCAGAGTTGGCACGCGCGGGCCAGACTGCGGTCGAAGTGCAGCTCGTTCGGCCCACCGCCAACACTGATCATCGGGGGGGGCACCGACTGATGAATGCGGCATGAATGTTCGCTGATTCCTTCCGAGGCCTGAGGGGGGGCCAGCCGAGGCCACGGCGGCCGCCCCCGGCGCTCTGGTCCTTGCTGTGTATGCCCGAGGCTCCTCCGGCTGAATCGGGAAGGTGGTGGCAACGCATGTCCCTCTACAGGAGGAATATACAAAAATAGTCAAACAATAGAGTGGGGACTATTTTTCGCATTTTTGTGACTATTTGTTATATGTTCGGCTAATTCTCATTACTAAGTGTAAGTTTTCTCCCAACATCCGCCTGTGGGGGGACACGCCCGACCTGATGGTAATGGGGGGTGACCCACATGGTGTGTGAAGAAAAGAGCCTTCAAGGGGCCCTTTAGGGCCCCTCTTGGAGCCAGCAGGGGCCCTACAGGGCCCCTTTGGGGCCCTCTTCTTCACCCCCACTTGGGGCCACCCCCCAGTGCCACCCGCCCGACGGTGTCCGTCTCGAAGGACGGGTCAGGACGGACCCCAGGAGGGGGTCGGAGACAGCGCTGTTGTGCACCCTGGCGCGGCCGACGCGGTTCGATTCCGAGCCCGTGCCGGTGCGGCTCGATCCGACGCAGGTTGTCCTCTTCTCAGCATCGTCTATAGCCTGTCGCCCAGCCGCACTGGGCCGTGGTATCTCGGCCCTGCCAGGCCACCCCCCGCGAGGTGGGGAGAGGTCCCGCCGAAAGCGAAGGGAACACAGATTGCCACCTTGGGGGTACATTGGCCAGTGGGGCGGCCACGCCAGTGGGGATGGGGATCGGTTAAACGACGCTCAGACTCGTTCGGACGCAACCCATGGGAGCCTTGTATAACCTAGCAGCTCCGTTTCCAAAGTGCACTGGCGTGCGCCAGCTTGTGGTAATCGATGAATCAGCGCCGATCCAGCGTCGATCTAGCGCCGATCTGGAGTCGATTAGCGTCGATCTAGCGTCAACTGGCGTCGATTAGCGTCGGTGAGCGTCGGTTCGCAAGAGCCAGCACTCGGAGGACGCGTGGGAGGCCCCCATGAGCTGCCACATTAGATTCGATCAGACTTCTCGAGTCGAGACTGGCCGCTCCCTGCCCCCCCCCCCAAGTCGATGGTCCTCAGGACGTGTGTTAGCCCAGGCGTGTGTGCTGCCCCGGTCGGCTGGCGCGCAACCTGCGCCGGTCCTCGCTGAACGCCGCCTGCGTCGCATTGCGGGGCCTCGGTGGACGATCGGGCGACGACATCTATCCACATCCACTGCTCCCTGGCCAGGCCCATGCTGAACCCAGGAGCTGTGTGTACACGCCCTCTTGGCCAAGCCAGGAAGGCGTGACGTATGCACCGCTGCTGGGTGGAGGATGGGCCTGGCCAGGGAGCAGCGGATAGGCACAGCTCTCGTCGCCCCAGATTAGCACACGCCGACGTTGGCACACGCTCTGAGGAGCCTCGGCCCAGCCCGTCCGGAAGAGGTGGGACAGCTGACCCCCCCGCGGCGCCTGGCGCTCCGGTCGCGGCGGCGCGCCCGCCGCCGCCTCCTCGCGTGGAGGGTTTCTCCGAAGGGCTTAGGCGACCCGCCCTCCGCCTTCTCCTCCTCCTCCTCCGCCTCCACCTCCTCCTCCTGCTCCTCTCTCCTCCTCCTCCTCCTCCTCCTCCTCCTCCTCCTCCTCCTCCTCCTCCTACTACTACTACTACTACTACTACTACTACTACTACTACTACTACTACTACTACTACTACTACTACTCTACTCCTACTCCTAACTCCTCCTCCTCCCCCTCCTTCTCCCCCCCCTCCTCCATCTCCTCCTCCCCCTCCTCCTCCTCCTCCTCCTCCTCCTCCTCTCCTCCCTCATCTTCTCTGCCCCTTCCCCCGCCTCCCCCTCCTCCCCCTTCTCCTCCATCTCCTCCTCCTCCTCCTCCTCCTCCTCCTCCTCCTGCTCCTCCTTCTCCTCCTCCTTCTCCTCCTCCTTCCTCTTCGTCCTCCTCCTCCATCTCCTCCCCCTCACCATCCTCCTTCTCCTCTTCCTCCTCCTTCTCCTCCTCCTCCTCCTCCATCTCCTCTGCCCCCTCCCCCTCCCCCTCCTCCTCCATCTCCTCTCCCTCCTCCTTCTCCACCTCCTGCTCCTGCTCCTCCCCCTCCTCCTCCTCCTCCTCCTCCTCCTCCTCCTCGTCCTCGTCCTCGTCCTCGTCCTCGTCCTCCTCCTCGAGTACTGTTTTGGCTCAAACGCGACGCGCCCGCAGGCTCCGCCGCCGCTCGCCCCGATGCTAGGTACGCAGAAGACTGGAACACGCGCTGCGGCGCCGCTGGGGGCCGCCCGCGGGGCGCTCATGGCGCTGCACGCGGCCGCGGGCCTGGCCGTCGCCGATGGGCGGCGTTCCGCCGCGCGACTGATCCGCGCGGCCGAGGGCCTTCTTCGCACAGCAGTGGCAGAGCTGCACGCGCCGCCTGGCGCCCCGTCGCCTGCGGGCGCGACGGCCTCCGCGGAGGCGCCTCAGAGGCGCCGCCGACCGCGCGGCCGCGGCGGAGCGAGAGCAGGCGTGGCGCAGGAGTAGCCCGACGCCTTGATGCTGACGGACATGGGCAGGGCGGTGGAGTCGGATGGCGCGGCGGCGGCGGAGGCGGCGGCCGACGTCCAGCCGATGCTGGAGGATGACGCTGACGACCTGCCAGTGAGGCAGCCTCAAGGCCCGCCTGCCGGCACAGGCTCGCGCGGAAGAAAGGCACGGGCACGGGCAAGGGCGGCGAGAGCGGCGACATGTACAAGCATGACCACCTCGAGGTGTGGCAGCTCAGGAAGCTCGTCGTCCGCCTGAGGGAGCCCGCGGGGTTGCCCCGACCCGCATCCGAGGTGCTCTTCGACCACGGCGCGCTGGTCGCAATGGCCATCGAGCTCGAGGAGCTTGCCCGTGTCCGACGGCACGCGCGGCGGGGGCAGCGGAGCGGACGATGGCCGTCGAGCGCGCGTTGGTCCACGTGGCGCTAGCGGCCCGGTGCCCGGTGCGGGCGGCCGCGGGAGGAGCAGCGGGTGGTGGTGGTAGGTGGCCTTGCCACTACGTGTGCAGGGCCCTCGCCCCTCCCCCCTCCCGCGGACAACGCGGTGCTCGTCGGCATCCTTGAGCCCGACGGCCTGCAGCGCGAGGTGTACCTAACGGTCGGGGGCCTTGCCCGAGGGGCGGGCCCCTGTGGCCAGGGGTCCTGGCTTGTCGGTCTGGACCCCTGGCGGCCCGCTGCGCGTGGGCGCGTGCGCGGGCGTCGGGGGGGTCGGCAACGACTCTTCTGTGGCTCGCTCATCCTCCTCGGGTCGCCTACGGCCCCGGGGGTAACCGTGCAGCCTCGCGAGGGGGGCGGGCCGCGCGGGCGCCCGGGCCGCGCTCTGCCGCGTCCTCGCTCGCACGTGTGCCTCCGTCTCGATGCTGAGCCACTGTGGAATCTGAGATGCTGCGAATGAAATCGAAGCGCTGCTGCTTGAACTCGAAGCTATGCTGCTTGAGCTCGAAGCTAAGGTGCTTGACATCGAAGCTTTGATGCTTGAAATTGAAGCTGTACTTGAAATCGAGGCTGTGCTTGAAATCGAAGCTGTGGTGCTTGACATGAAAGCTGTGCTTGAACTCGAAGCTAGGCTGCTTGTGATTGAGGCGCTGCTGTTGGAAATCGCTGCAAGCCAAAAGCGAGGATGCGTTCTCACCGCAAGGGTGAACGCTGCCTGTCTACGAGGACCATGGTTTGCAGAGCAGTATCTAGAAGACGAACCAGCGCTGAAGCATAGGCCGTCCTTCGTTGACTGCTCCACCACAAGTGTCAATGATAGCGAGATTGATCAGTCTTATTCTCCTTTCCGCACGTAAGCTCCGCGGAGTCGAGCAATAAGAAAGAGGTCTCTGACCTCGCACAATCATTTGATGAACTCAAGGAACCGCCGAGGCAAACATCTGATAACGTGTTATCGATGATTGGTCAAAAGGGGATCCCCTGAAATCGTTGAGAGAAATGGCCACAGCATGTTTCATGCTCTCTCTCTCTCTCATTTTTTGTTCTCTTTCTCTCTCTCTCTCGCTCTCTTTTTTTTTTTTCTCTCTCTCTCTCTCTCTCTCTCTCTCTCTCTCCCTCCAGCTGCTTATCTACTTCTGCGTTTCTAGCTGAACCTATACGGGCAACGCACATCTGGGCGCCTTTTGGGGCCCCCAGGGGGGTTCCTTGGGGCGGAAAACTAGTCCCTCGCTTGGGCTGTCCTGAGTTTTTCTTGGGCCGTCTTGGGCGTCTCTTGGGCCGTTCGGGGACGGTCCCAGGCCGAGCCGAAAAGGCGCGAACACCAAAATCCGCCCAACACCTAAAGGACACCAGTGATCATTGCCTTTGTGGGCCCCCTTTGGGAAGCCTTTTAGAGCGTGTTGGACGCCTCTGGGGGCGTCTTGCGCCCATCTGGAGCGTCTTGGAGCGATCATTGGGCGTCAATGTGCCCTCTTGGACCGTTGTGGCGGCCTCGTGGAACCCTTTTTGCCCGTCTTGGGCTTTTTGGGCCCAGGAGAATTGGGCGCTACCGCGCCGAGGACCCCACGGGATTTGCGGCAAGTCCAGCCAAGTTTGGTAACGCTGATGCAGGGCCATTATTTGACTCCTCGTGACTGAGGAGTGAAGCTCTCGGACTCAGGTGATGTAGCGAAGGGCCTGCGGACACGTCCATTCAGTGCACAGAGGCACGGTGGCGTGTTTGCGTGTGTATGTATGTATGTGGTATGCGTGTGTGTGTGTGTGTGGTTGGCTGGCTGGTTGGCTGCCTGCATGCATGCATGTATGTATGGGGGTCTGTATTTATGTTGTATGAGTGTGTATATGTATGCATGTCCGTATACCGGCATACATATGTTTTCACGTGTACGTATGTAGATGTGTTTGCGTGTGTATGTATGTGTGATTGTATGTATGTATACGTGTACTTGTGTATCCATGTTTGTATGTATGTGTGTTTGCAGTCACGCATGCAGGTATGTACATATATACATATATATATGTGCGTACGCATGTACCGTCTGCAGTGTATGCGGTGTATGTATGCGTACGTGTCTGTGTGTATTTATAAAATACGTATGCATGCGTGTAGATATGCATGTATGTATGCGTGTATGCATGGGCGTGTATGTATACAGTCATGGATGGGTGTGCCTGTATGTATACATGTATTGGCGTGTGGACATATGTGTATGAATGTCTGCACGTATGTATGTTTGTATGTATATGTACGCATGCATCCATGTATGATTGCATGTGCGGGTGCGTGTATGTATGTATGGAGGTGGTGTGGGCCGAATACCTCCAGGTATTATTCTTGCACATCAGCCTATCCATATGCATACACACATGCATACATACATTAATCCATACATACACACATGTGTACATACATACACGCATGCATGTACGCACGTATGCATGAATGTATATTTGCACAATACATACAGCCATACATATTACATTAACGCATGCATACCTACAACTATACATACATGCATGTTTACACACATGCATACACCAATGCATACATGTATACGTAAAACCATACATGCATGTTCTCGTACGTGCATACATACACGTATACGTACAACCATACGCACATGCACATATATATAAGCATGCATGGTCGACGCACACATACATACACAAACACATACACACATATTCATACATGCATGCATGCACACATACATGCATACACACAAACATGCACATCTACATACACAGCCACACACATAAAACATACACATATGCATACACATATCCATACACACGTACGTACATACATATGCGGTAAGTTTATGAATTTGATATCGTCGTGGTGCCTCATGGGCGGCCTCTTGGAGCCCTCTTGGGGCGTCCTGCGTGTTCCTTGGGCCGTCTGCAGGCCGTCCTGAGCGTCTTGGAGCGATCTTTGAGCGACTCTGGGCTCTCTTGGACCGTCTTGAGGGCCTCTTGGGGACCTATTGGCCTATCAAGGGGCCCTCTTGCCTCTGGACGAGTCACGCGAGCCAAAGCGAGAGTGCCCAACAGCGCCCAGAACACCGGGCTGTCTGCCCTGTGCGACATGTACTGGGTTCAAGACAAAGAACTCGAAGGAACCATGAGAACACTCCACTTCGTACCTCAAGGTGGCGAATATGCATAAAGGAGCAAATATATGAGATGGGACCACAAGCTGGCGTGGCAGCAGCAACAGCAGTGTCATCTGTAAGGGTATCTGTGGCGGTAGCGGTAGCGGTTTCAGCGCTCGTGGGAGTTGTAGAAACAGCAGTGGTCTAGCACCCGCAGAGGGAAGCATCACCAGCGGCGGCACAACCAAAAGGTAGCAGCTACAGGAGCAGCGAACAGGAGCAGCAGCAGGACCATGAACGGCAGGAGGACGAGATAGAGGGTAGGCTGGGTCGGGTCAGGCCTCACCCCACGCCGGTATCCTCCTCGCTCATCTCCCCCCTCCATGGGTCGGAGGGTGCCAACTCTACACCTACACCGATCCTGCGCATGTGATCGGTGTAGATGCCTGCCTGGCCAAGCCAGGCGTGCGCATACCCAAAAATCGCACGTCGTGCTTTTCTCACAGCGTGGCTTCTCAGCAGTCTGGACCCCTTCCTGGGGACCATTTCTTCGTCCCGAGCCTCAGTTTGTGACAGCCCTGGGGCCCGGCAAGGGCCCCCGGATGCCGAAACCGCCGAACGCATCCCGCCGTGTTTCACCGAGCGCGTTCCGCTACTCGCAAAGTGCCTCCTCGCAAACGTCCGAACAAAAAACATGCTTGCCCCAGTTTAATGTATCGTAAATCACCCGCGGCGGATCCAGGTTTGCGAGTTGTTACTTTGTGAGCGGTGGAGCGCGCCTGTTGACCATCACGGCGAGAGGACGTCAGGGTGCAGCGCTCCTGGGCCCAGGACAGGCCTGGCCTTACATCGGGCGTGCCCCTCTACAAGAGGAATCTTCGAAAATCGTCAAAAGATAGCCTGGGGACGATTTGTTAACTATTCTTCGCTCTGTGTGTGCATGTTTGGGCGATTCATAGTTTGTCACACCAAATTCGCCTGTAGGGGGACATGCCCAACCTACAGTGGGGGCCCAGGCCAAGAGACACACTGCTTGCCTCCAGGGTGCCCTGGATTTCTTGGGTTTCGATAGTTTTGCTGTGGAAGACGTTACACGCTCACGCCAAAAATCAAGGGACGTCCTGGGGTCTCAGGGTTGGGTTTCTTGTGCAAGGTTTCTTGTGGACTGGCCTCCAGTGTAAGGCCAGGATCGGCGTGGGTGCACAGCCGGCACCCGCCTGCTGGGCGCCGGGCGGCACATGCCGTTTGGTGCCGCGGCGCCGCCGCCCGGCAGCCGAGGGCCCGCGCGCACGTGCGCGGCTAGGCCTGTCTTTGCCCGTGCCGCCTCCTCCTCCTCCCCCTCCTCCTCCTCCTCCTCCTCCTCCTCCTCCTCCTCCTCCTCCTCGTTCTCCTCCTCTTCCCCCTCCTCCTCCTCCTCCTCCTCCTCTCCTCCTCCTCCTCCTCTCCTCCTCCCTCCTCCTCCTCCTCCTCGTCCTCGTCCTCCTCCTCCTCCTCCTCCTCCGCCTCCCCCTCCTCCTCCTCCTCCTCCTCCTTCTCCTCCTCCTCCTCCTCCTCCTCGTCCTCCTCCTCCTCCTATTCCTCCTCCTCCTCCTCATCCTCATTCCTCCTCCTCCTCCCCCCCTCCTTCTCCGCAGCGGGAGCCGCAGGCAGGGCCTCCGGTGGCGCTTGGGGCAGACCATGCGGCTCCACTCGAAGAAGAAAAAGCAGCATAAACATCAGCTTCGGGGGGGGGTCACCACGATGCAGGCCAAAGTCTTCAGGAAGGCCATGGCCTCCCCCACCCGTCCTCGATCAGGCCGGGACGGCTGTCCGCAGAGGTGATTCTCGAAGAGGAGAAAGCGGCATAAACATAAACTTTTCGCGCTCCGCGCGGACTTCTTGGATCCGCGCTGGCCCCCCCTCAGGCGGCGCCTACGGCGCCGCCCCTGGGGCGCTCCGCGCGCCAGGGAGGGGGGGGGGCCCAGCGCAGATCTATGAAACTCGCGGGGAGCGCGAACAGTTGATGTTTATGACGCTCTTTCTTCTTCTACCAGTGGCGCTTGCGGCAGACCATGCGGCTCCAGGCCTCCCAGATTCGGGGAAGCTCAAACAGTGGCTAAGCGTCCTGGGTCGCCTAGACTTTGGCCCACCAGAGAATGTTCCAAGAACTGCTTGTGTGGTCTGCACGAGGTGCACTTGGAACATTGCTGGCTGACATTGTCTTGTTTTTTAACCATCGGGCTTATGTTCTAAGAACACCGCTTTTGTCATAAGAACATCTTTGGTTCTAAGAAATGTTCGTGGTAGGCTTATAGGAATGTCGGCACGGTCGGTCCCTGCTCAAGAAGCGTAAGACTCGAGCACGCCGGAACTCGGGTTTGTCGACGCTTCTGGACGACCGCGTCCTGGATCCTGACTGTCTGGTTGTCGTGGGATGTTTGCAGCGGGAGTTCGCGTCAAATTTCGGACGGGGTCTCGTCATTTTCATGATTGCCCCGTCAGGCCAACCCGAGCCCCCCGAACCCAAGTCTTACGTCTGCCCGACAGATGGGGCCCGAGCAGGTGGGGTTGGAGGATCGCCCCGCGTCGCCGATGCATCGGCGGTGCGGCTCGATGCGGGGCTCGGCTTCTCAGCACGCCGAGGCATCGTCGGTGCATCGGCGATGCGGCGCGATCCTCCGACCCCATCTGCTCGGCTCATCCTAGATTCCTCTATCGCTCTCACTCCCACCCTCCTTCGCCGAAGAAGGAGAAGAGTAAACTCTCTCTCTCTCTCTTTGTCTCTCGCTCCCTCTCTACATCTCTCTCCTTTTTTCGCCGCAGAAGACCTGACCAAGGGTGCCTCTCTTTCTCCTGACCAAGGACGCTTGACCTCAAACAAACGAGGAAGAGTAAATCAACATGAGCATAAGCATGCAACGTTAGTCTGGGGAGGTCCGCGCGGATTTCTCTGACCGGCGCTGGGCCCCCCCACAGCGGCGCCACGGGCGCCGTCCCCAGCGCGCTTCGTATGTGGGGTCCAGCGCCGATGCGTGGATAAACGACATGTTATGTTCATGCGTACGGTCGGACCGAAGTATCAGATCGAGGTCGGTTCGGGGAGGATACCTACATGATTTTAGTGTTTGTTGGATGTTCTTGTACATCCAAGGGGAGGGTACCCTTGGACGTTCTGTCTGTTTTGGCCGGCGGAGAATCTCATGTTCTCGACGGGTGCTCTTCTGTCCTAGGTCCGACTGTTTCAGTCGCTTCGCTCACTCCGCCGGCCCATATTGCATCATCGTTGCTCTGTTTTGACACGCTCTTGGCGAGCAAGAAGGAGGAGGAGGAAGAGGAGGAGGCATCTCGATAGCTTCTTGGGGCAATCTGGGGGCCAAAGGGGGTCGTTGACAAGATGCGTGGATCTTCGAATGTGTGTGCTCGTGCATATTGGTCATCTTTCCTTTTTCTTCTGCTAGCACCATCCCCCATGGGACAGGGCTTCTCAGCGTCACGATTCTATAGTCAACCCGCATGGTAAGGATGGGCAACATTCCCAATGACACCCTTGCATCCTTGCCTCCTCGGTCCATCCTTGGCCACTTTCGCTGGCCGCGCCCCGCTGGCAAAGTGCCGACACGGCCCTCCAAGGCCCTTACATCCTTGCCGTGCGTCCTTATGATTCTAGGCCTCCTAGATGGGGTCCGAGCAGACGGGATCGGCGGATTGCGCCGCATCGCCGATGCATCGGCGATACGGCTCGATGTGGAGCCTGTGATCCTCCACGCTTATGGCGGCGATGCATCACCGATGCAGCGCGATCCTCCGACCGGATCTACTCGGACCCCATCTAGGGGAGAGAGAGGAGGGGAGGGGAGAGGACAGGAGAGGGGGTTGGAGGGAGGAGAGAGGAGAGGGCCACCGCCCAGAAGCGGGGTGGGCGCAAGGAGGCCGAAGGGCACCCAGCACAAGCAAAAGAGACAGGAAAGCTCCGCCTTTACTTACAGTGGGGGCCCATGCCAAGAAACATCCTGCTTGCCTCCACGGTGCCCTGGGTTTCTTGGGTTTCGATGGTTTTGCTATGGAGTACGTGACGCGCCCGCACCAAAAGTCAGTGGACGTCCTGGGGTCTCAGGGTTGGATTTCTTGTGGAAGGCTTCTTGTGGTCGAGCCTCTGTTGTATACGGGTTGGCTGCGCTGCCCCCATCCCCAATGCCCAGCAGGGGACAGGGCCTCGGAGCGCCGCAAGCCTGCCCCCCCCCCCCCTCGAGTTGGGCCCCGAAATAGTGCCGCGAGGTCGGGACGCGAGGGCATCTGCCTCCTCCTCCGGGGGGGGGAGCAGTGGGAGGGGTCGGCCAGCAGGGGGGCACATCCCTCTCCTTCTCCTCCTCCTCCTCCTCCTCTCCTCCTCCTCCTCCTTCTCCTCCTTCTCCTTCCCCTCCTCCTCCTCCTCCTCCTCCTCCTCCTCCTCCTGCTCCTCCTCTCCCCCCTCCTCCTCCTTCTTCTCCTCCTCCTCATCCTCGTCCTCGTCCTCCTCCTCTTCCCCCTCCTCCTCCTCCTCCTCCTCCTCCTTCTCCTCCTCGTTCTGGGGCTTGGTTCTAGCGCTCCCAGATGAGGTCCGAGTAGATGGGGTAGGACCCTATCTAAGAGGACTTCGAGTGCTCTCCCGGTGGGGATGGATGATGGGTCTACTTGTGGTGATCTCGCAGGCAATGTTGTTGCTCCCACAGTCCCGGGCATTTCGACGAAGCATGGAGCCGCTCAGACAAGGGGGGGAAACCCTGGGATACAGCCGTAGGTGGCTGTGCGGTCGCACCCCCATCGAGGATGGACGCCCCCCCATCGTTCATATCCCCAGGTTGGGCCCCAGATTTCTGGTCCATTCGAGAACTCCACGAAGCCCGGAATGGGGGTCGACATCTCCCCTGTGTAGAAGAGGTATAAACACAAACTACTGAAGCTCCGCGCAGATTTTGGATCGGCGCCTGAGCTCCCCTGGCGGCGCCTCTGGCGCCGCCCCTGGCTCGCTGCGCGCGTGAGGAAGGGGGAGGAGTCCAGCGCCGGTCCCAGAAATCCGCGCGGACCTCAGAGTTTGTCTTTCTGTACGAGTTCGGTTGTTCCTCTAATCATGTCACCCGCCGGCAACCGATGCTCACCTCTACCCCATGGCCGTTCAGGGCCAGTTTTCGCGCTGGGCTCGGAAGGTCTCAAGGACTGCCCCTCGGCGTAGCCAACGTGTACGTCCTTCAGCCATATTCTGGCGTCGCCGCCATGGTGCGTGGCGGCGGCCCACCTGCGCAAACCACCGAGCAACCATCAACACTATCCTGCACCCGACGGAGGGATTGCTGGTAAGGGCCCAGCGAGCCGCACCCGCAGCTCCCCGCAGGATCCCCCGTCTGTTCCACCTCACGACATTGGGGTGACACCATGTCTGACGAACTGCACGGTGTCTGGTTCTGGTGCATTCCCACCACCAGATGATGCGGACCTTCCTCGGCTTACACGGAGGGGCAGAACGCCGAGACCCCAGTGTCGTTGTCTGGGTGCAGGGTTACCTCCCGCACTGCACAGAGAGCACGGGCCCCCGCTCACGACACCGAGCCAAAACGCTGCATCCAGTTTCTACGAGAGCCGCGCCAGCATGGCGTGCCAAGGTTTACCACCTGCAGTGGAAACGCCGCTGGGCAGGCTGCCACATGAGCCGCTTATGGACTCCCTGCCTGGGCACCCGAGTCTCAACGTCTGCCGCTGCCATCCTCACCGCTGGGGCGATGAGAACCGCACGCTGCGCAGATCACTTCGCCAAGGTGGCTGAGCCCTGATCTGAGACGCTCGGCGCCGATCCGATATGACCATGGGCACGAGGGTCGGGATCCATGTTCCAACCCGTTCCTGACGCCCTGAGGGTGAGCATCGGTCAACCATCCACGATGAAGTCGGTCCTGCCCCTCTACAGGAGGAATATTCAAAAGTAGTAAAAAACATACTCTGGGGACGATCTGTTGAGTACTTGTGGCTATTGTGTTCAGGCATGTTTGTTGTTTTCACATCTATCGCCCAATCCGCCTGTGGGAGGACATGCCCGACCTAAATCTACGACCTCTGCGTTACTTCTCTTCTCGCTTCCCCCTCTGCCCTCTGTCGTCCGCCCCCCTCTCTCTCCCGTGTCCTCCGCCCCCTCCTCCGCCCTGCGGCTCTCGCCTTCCCCTCCCTCAGCGCATGCTCCTACGCTGCGAGAACATGTGATCATGACCCCTCCCTGCTCCCTGCTCGCTCCCGTCCCTCCTCACTCCCCTCATCCGTCCCCTCGACCCCTTCCTTTCCGCCGCCCTGCTCGCTTCGGACGGGGCCAGCACGAGGCTAACCGCATGAAGCTATTAGGGATCCTCCAGGGTTATCATTAGCACCGCACCGTAATGAAATAATTCTGGGGGACGGTTTTCGCCGAACGGTATAGTTTGTTCGCACCGCGCAAGTGATCGAAAATAAAAATACCGCGCCCCGGCTCGGGTGGTATCCCAATTGGAATTGGATTTGTAAGAATAATAAGAGTAATAATGAAATGCGAGTAGTATAAATAATACTGCGAATAATAATGATGATACTAACAAGAAGTATTTTGGAACAGTACTATGAATACAGAAAACAGTAAGAGTAATATTATGACTAGTAATACTAAGAGTAAGAATACTGATAATAGTATTAAATCAGTCATCATCCGAACAAGACTACGGATAATAGTAATAA